ACTCTCTTCGATACCCGTCATGTCCTTCGGCCTGCGCTACGCCGCACAGACCTTCCAACGCTTCATGGACGACATTCTGCGGGGACTCGACTTCTGTTTCGCTTACCTGGATGATATTATCTTCTCCCGGTCTCTAGAGGAACACGAGCAACACCTACGGGCACTCTTCGTGTTCTCGTTTGGTGCGTAGTTCGCCTTGCAGATTCTCCATGTGTGTTACGTACTGTTGCAGGAGGTCTTCCATTCGACCGCTGTCCATTATTTGTGTTGAATTGTCGGGGTCACCAATGTGGGATGTCGTATGAATGAAGAGACAACCACTAGTTGAACGGTCCTATAGGATTTATTGCAGCTGCACAGTATACACATATGGATAACAATAGTGAACTGCTTGAACACTGAACTAGTATTGTAGAACGGTAGAACTAGACTCTAGACTCTAGACTGTCACTGCAAGTCAGTGTATCTTCTTATGTAGCCTGGAGTCGGACATATGGAAAACGGTTACGTAATAGGTGCTGCTATTGCCGGTTACCGTGTTTACTAGTTCCCTAGCAACCGCTGTTTACTTGCTTTTGCCTAACAACCGTTGTTTACTCGTTGTTGCTAAGCAATGACGTTTGCGTTGTCACACTTGCTTGACTGTGGGCAGTTCCCACATATGTATTAAAATCAGGGACTGTGCCTAGTTCAGGGCCTATACAGCCATTTCTCAAGTATGTTACACCCCTGTGGTAATGGGCTGGAAATCTAAAAAATTTTATATCTTTCTGAAACAGAAGAGAAACACATTCAGGCACCACGAGCTGGTGATTGATGGAAAAGGTGGATGCTCATAAGTCATTCAGCAGTACCTGCTTGGCAGTTAGTAATTCCAAAAACAGTTATTGGAATTAGTGATTGACATTTAGTTCACTAATGACATTTGGAGAAATTAATTAGTCAGAAGTGCGAAGTCACATAATTAATTTGATCAGAGAGCAGGCTGTTAATAGAAGAAAAGAACCAGACATATGATAGTGAGGCAGTTATTTGGTTTGTCATTCCAGAATTCAAAGCAAAAGAAATTACACTAAATAATACTTTGTGTGTTAGTTATGAGCATTATGCAGTGATAACAGTGAGTAGTACTGTGGGGTGCATGTTTGTATCAATCAGAGTCAATAACGGTCAATGGCAGGATCTTTACCTGACATCTGTGACCATCCTTCCAGCTTCCGTGTTCTTGCTTATCTGATTCCTGTGTGCCAGTCAATTTTTTGAGTGCCCTGAGAGCCATTCCTCCATCCTGAGACTTGGCACCCTTAGGGTGACGGCACACCAGTGAAACTGGCAACTGCAACTTCCAAGAATTGTTATGAGACTGAGTTAAACATGTGGAACTGAATTGAGCAGAGCAAACTGAAGAAACGGAAACGCAACTCTTGGAAGACTAAGAAACTCAACTCCCAGGCAACTGAGCAAGCCACTCTTCTCACAGTTGCATTGCAGCTTACTTTCCTAGTTTCAACCATTTTAACGTGCTTCTGCGATTCATTTGCTTCTTTAGATGGCTTAAAAGGTTGATGAAGCTGCTAATTTTGTTTTTGTGCAGTTAACTGAGCAGGAGCCTGGCACATATGGCAAATGTCACACAGACATGTGCTAGGCGGGACAAAATAGATTTGCCTTGGGAAAGAATTTCTCATGAGATGGAGTCTGGATCCTGGTTAAGTTCTTTTGAAACAATATAAGCCTCTGAGTTTAAATTGTCACGGAAGAGCGCATGTACCCAGTATTTTATTTTCTGAATATTGTATTTAGGCATCCTGTTGCTTTAATATAGCATTTATTTCACATATATGTCTTAAACGCAACTTTTTTTTAATGCTCGTGGGGTGGGACTAAGTCCCTTGTACTGCAGCCACTTCTGGCCTATTGTACCAGCCCCAGATGGTAGGTGAGGGTGATTGTGGAGCAATTGGTGGAATAAAGATTGGCAGGGGAAACCGAAATACTCGAGAAAACCTGCCCCAGTGCCACTTTTTCCACCACAAATCCCACTTGACCAGACCCGGAATCAAGCCCGGGCCACCACGGTGGGAAGCCTAGTGACTAATCGCTTGAGCTATGGCGCAGCCAAATATGGTAGTGCCAGGATACAAACTCGGACCTCTGAATCTGTAGCCAGGAATACTGACCACTAGACCACAGAGGCCTAAATGCAACTTACTATCTAATCACCTTCCACACTTCATTTCAGCCATATAAGTCCATCATCAGGTTTCTTCTACGTGTGTGTTCAAAAAGTATCGAACCTTTGGTCGGCAGGAATACATTTATTGGTTTGTAGGTACAAAACCCTAATCCCCTTCAAAGTAGTCCCCTTGGTAATGCACACACTTCTCCCAGCGCTTCTGACATTGTTGGAAACACTTCTGGAACGCGTCTTTTGGAATGGTGATCAGCCAGGTTGTCGCATTCCTCATGATGTCTTCTCCTGACTCAAATCGGGTTCCTTTCAGCGGCATTTTCAGCTTGGGAAATAGCCAAAAGTCACACAGCCATGTTGGGGGAGTAGGGAGCCTGACGAACCACAGGGATGTTGTGTTTGGTGACGAAAGTCTGAATCAGATGCACAGAATGGGCGGGTGCGTTATCATGATGGAGCTGCCAAGTTTTTGCTGCCCACAGATCTGGTCATTTGCGCCGCACAGCATCATGAAGGCGTCGAAGGACCTCCTGGTAGTATTCCTTTGTGATGGTTTGACCTTGTGGTGCATACTCATGATGCACAACCCCACGGGAGTCGAAAAAAACAGCCAACATGACCTTGACATTGCTGCGGACCTGCTGTGCTTTTCTTGGCCTCGGGGATATCAGATGTTTCCACTGTGACGACTGCATCTTGGTTTCCGGGTCATACCCATAAACCCACAACTCATTGCCTGTGATCACAGTGTTCAGAAAGTTGGGGTTACTGTTTGCATTGTCCAGCATGTCCTGTGCGATTTCCAGACAGCGTTGCTTCTGCTCCATTGTTAGCAGTTTCGGTACGAATTTCGCAGACATTCTCCTCATGCCCAAATCCTCAGTCAAAATTGAATGTACCGATCCAGTGCTTACCCCTATCTCGTTCGCAAGTTCTCGGACTGTGATACGACGGTCCTCCATGACCAAAGTCTGCACTTGCTCAATGACGTTCTCATTTCGGCTTGTTGAGGGTCTGCCTGAATGCAGTTCGCTGTCCACTGATGTGCAGCCATCTTTGAAGCGGTTGTACCACTCCTTTATCCGTGAGTTGCTCATGGCATCGTCCCTGAAAGCCTGTTGAATCTTGCAAAATTGTTTCAACTTGGGTATCGCCAAGCTATTGGCAAAATTTGATGCAATATCGCTGCTCATGTTGTTCCGGCATTTTACACCTTACTGGAATCCGACGAGCGCTCACTACACGTCCTCATTCATAGGCCGACTGCCAGCGACTGATGCTTTCTGCAGGTGGGAAAAAATTCACAACTGCGCATGAATGTCCCCTCCACATCTCCACCAAAGGGAACCTCCCGCGCTTCATTGGTTTACGCGGGGAAAAAAGAAGGTTTGATACTTTTTGAACACACCACATATATCTTATTATCTACTATATTTACTCTAGGCTGGGTCATCAAATGACAAAACCTTCTAAATCATCCCATGAGTACTCCACTTGAATCTCTGTTCACTTTTACCTTACTCTGTTTTTCACATCTTCCTTCACTTGATTTTCCCAACTTGTTGTTGGTCTCAAAATTTTCATTTTTGATGTTCTCTAAGGAACCCAGCAGTTGTTATCTATGTAGAACACATGTTCATACAACATTATTTGTTTATTTAACAAACTTTTTTTTTGGAGGGGGGGCGTCAGAATTTCTCCTTTCAAATCTTGTCTGATGAACTGGTTTTGATTTTTAACACTTCCAGGTCAGTTCTTGGCCCTTTCACTCCACATTTTTCAGCAGTGACTTGTGCTCCAGACCAGAATCTTATTGTCTTTATTTCAGGTTTTACTGTCTGCCTTGAATGTTCCTGAAAAAAAATTACTGCTTCTTCAACTTATTATCTTTAAACAGACATGAAATTGCAACCATTCAGAGAACTTGCGAGGGAGAGTCAGTAAATAGGTCACAAATGGAAGTAAAACAGCTCTAATGGATGTAATAGGTTTTCTATATGTATCATCACCATGTAGCAGCACAATCCAGCTTCATGACAGTGTAAGTAATAGATGTGCATACACATATTCAGAGGCTGGTTTCAGTAGTCATAATGGTGACCATGCTTGAGTTTGTACTACTGAAGAGCAGCATTCTGTTGTACATTTTTGTGGGCGAAAGGACTCAAATCTTTCTCACTTCCATCAACATTTCCCCTCCATATGTCAAAGTAGCCTATTATGTGTACATTAAACCACATTGTATCTTATTTTTACAGGCAAATGATGCATTTGAGAGGCAACATTTCACATTAGCCATCAGTTTATATAATAAAGCAATTGGTTACTGCCCGTCAGCAGCTGTTCTGTATGGAAACCGGGCTGCAGCATACATGAAGAGGGGCTGGTAAGCTATGCAGCATATAAACTTAGGTCAGGGAAAGAATGAACACAGATTGTCTGCATCCCTAGCAGTTGCCTCTTCTCTGCATGTGATCAGTTGTCACTTGTGTTACAGCTGTTGTTTATCTACCTCTTTGCATTCTTGTTTTGTTACTGATGTTGACTGACAGAGTGGGAGAGCAGGTAGTCAACTTGAATCCATAGTAGATGTGTTCATTCTATCCCTGACTGAACCAAAATTATGGTTCTAGATTTCTGTACTAAAGGTTTCAGGTTAAAGACCACCCAGCTATAATGCATATATTTCTGAATGGCTTCACTGTCTGTCACCACTAAAGCACATTCAAGCAAGGACTCTATCATGATCTTGAGCCTACATCAAGTCAAAAGTCCTGTCTGGCCATTTATTATATTGTCATGATTTAGGGGTGCATGACTATAGATGGATTAGTAAATGGATTAATTGACCACATGTATACACCACTCGCAACTTCACTTTACAGAACACTGACATACACAGACTAGTGTCCTCAGTCTATTACAGTCTCTACTGGCTGTTTCCTGGTGACAGCTTCCACCGAGGGCAATACTTCAGCTTCCCATGCCCAGGTCCTCTTGTCAACTGACAACTCAACTAACTGGGTCCTAGGCTGGCAGCCATTTGACACCAACCTCCTGGTCTTCTCTTCACAGGCTGACTTTTAACTGACAGCTGAACTCTATTACTCACTACCCAGCTACTTCACGTCACTTCAATCATCTGAACTGCTGGCCTGGTGTCCTCGCCATATATAGCCTCAAGGTAGACCCAACAGAAAACACTGCCTCCAACAATCCCTCTGTTGTTGCTGTGAGTGGTTGCCTAGCAATAGCTTGGATATTGCGGACAAGTTTACGAGCCATAACCAAGCAATACATGTTCCTTCTCATAATCTCTGCCTAGAAACAGTACTACATGTTGCAATATTTTGTCATCCTGTCATTGAAAGTTAAATTAAGGTAGTCTTAGGTCCTGTCACATTAGAAAGTAGTGTTTTCATCCTTTGAAATGGAGGAAGAGGCCAGGAAGGCCAAAAGCCTAAGTGTGAGAAACAAAAGTGAGATATGTTTGGTTTTATTCGGCTATAGACCGGTTCACTGTGTTAGAAAGCACTCATTTCAGAAGGTTGTTACAGAATGCTGCTAAGAAGGGGTGTATTTGGGTGTGTATGTCCCCACAATTTTTAATGCTCAAAGTGGGGGGAGGAAGGGGAGGGGCAAATATACAGATTATTTTTCTGACAATTTCTTAGTGCTATGTAAGCAGCCTCCGTAGTCTAGGGGTAACGTTCCCACCTCATGACTCAAGGTACGCGGGTTCAAACCCGGCGGAGGTCATGGAATTTTTAAGGTCGGAAAAATTCAGGGAACAAGTCCTCCGGGAGGGACTTTAAGCCATGGGTCCTGTGTCATAGCTTTACGGCACGTAAAAGAACCTCATGCCTCAAGGAGGTCTCTGAGTCAAATTACCAGGACATTTCCCGCCCAACAATAGTCTAACGCCTCTGGTAGATGTGGGAAGCATCTAGATACCACTCAGCCGGTAGAGGCCGAACTCGCTGGCTGAGTTGGGACTGATGGTACGCACCAGTATCGGTAGGCTATAGAGACTGGTAGAATATCACAGGGGGACGTACAGTAGACCACTGGTCGCGGTGCATGGGGAAACCCACCCCCTCCAATAATAATATTAATAATAAATAGTGCTATGTAACAGATACAAAGAAATATTTTTTCTCTGATACATATCCTCTTCTTTCTCTCCCTTTTATGTAGACTCCCAGCAGCCTTTGCTACTATTGTTTTGTTGTCGCATCTCCATGCCATCCTGAAACACACCACAGGTCTCACATCAGGACTGTCATACACAGCAACTTTTCCATGAAAGTGTTTTATAACCAAGCCAATTGGAGTAGTGGTAATGTTCTAGATTGCTGAAGAGGCTCTCAGAACACTGATTATCTTTTCCTTGGCCCTTCTAGACAAGTGTGAGGACATAACCTCAAATTAGACCATGGCCACTCCATAATTGTTTCCAGTTCATTATTCACATATATTGCCACCTTTTGGTGCTATATAATGTGAACTACTGGCATTGTTAAATAAACCATGGTAAAGGTAAAGTTGTCACTGTGCTTAAGCACTACACCATGAAGGCATATGGGGGAGTGGATGCATAGATCTGTATTTTCTTGACCTTGGCACTAGCTGGAGGTGAGTGGTGAGCTTCATGCCCCGGACACTTTACCCCTGGGGAAAGAGTCCCCGGTACCCATTGGATAGGAGGATGCGTGGACCCCAGAGCCGGTCTGGAGATGATGTGGAGAAGGGAAAATTCTTGACCTTACCTGGACTCAAACTCTGATCCCTCAGTCATCCAGCCCATAGCCATCTTGCTATACTAACTATGCTATCCCTTCTTTTATTAAATAAATCGTGAATGAATAAATTCATCATCATCTGTTGTGTCTCCTTCTGTGTTTTTTCTTTTTCATGATCACTTTTGTCTTCCTCTTCTTTTAATTCATCATCATCTGCTAGACCTTCACACTGAGAAAGTTAGCTAAAGCAATAGTGCTTCTGACTTCTGTTTGGGAGATGCTTGGTTTGAATCTTTTCCAAGACAGTGACTATCCTGACGGGTCTTACGTGTTATTCCTCAGGCCCTACAAGCCAGGATGGTACCATAGTTAGGCCATGACTGTTTCCTTCCAAATCCTTTCCAATTTATTATTCACCAATTGTCCTGTCATTTGACATGTGGTCTGAGATACTGACAGCAGTATTATGTAAACTACAAATAGAAGTGTATGAAGTACATTTCAAGCCCTGGACAGAAGGCAGAGAAGTTAACAGTAATTCTGAAAAGTAACTTTTACCTGCTCCTTGAAGGCTAGTGGTGTGAGTTAAGAACTGTCACTGTACTTTACCTGTATGAGGTACTATCAGAAAGTTCCAGACTAGGTCGAAGAAGACATCCTGGCTTAACTTACTCAGTTCTGGCTGCCATCTCCTTCAAAATAGTCTCCTTGGGAACATATACAGCGATCTCATCATTTTTTCCACACCTCGAGAGCACCGTGGAAGTCATTTGCCTTAATGATGTTGAGTACCTCTTGCAATTCCCTTTGGATGCCAGACACTGTTTCAAACGTCCCTTCCGTTTCATTTGCAGTTTGGGAAACAAAGAGAAATCACAGGGGCTAAGCCCAGCGAGTAGGGAGGATGCAGAACAATAACCCTGTTGTTCTGCATAGCTACTCCCCCCTTTACCCTACTGAATTTCCAGGAGAGGGAATGCTGCCGTTGGCCCTGATTCACTCCTGTTCAAATGCTCCCCCTGAGTGGACTGGGGTGTCCAAGCTCCAGTGATTCAGATAAAGGCACTTCCTAAATGCTGAATATTTAATAACAGTAAGAGCAACAACAATAACAAAATTAAATAACAGTAACTAAACACTCGTATCAACAAATCTAATATTATCACACACTCTTGCCCTCGACTGCTTGTAGAGTACATAATAAATCAAACAGAAATAAAATAAGAGTATACAAATGACAAGAATTCAAAGCGCTGGACAACCTCTCTTCTAGAAATACATGATTACCTTCTTATAATCTCATTAACTAGCCCTCCAGCTACATAATCTTGGGGCAATGCCAGTCAATACAAAAAAAACATAGCATACATCTCAACTCAACTCATTTAACAATGTGCATATACAGAAGATAATATCTACCATATAAAAGGGTTACTAAGGAAGCCCCAATGATATCACAATATTTAACTGAATGCCCAACATTTATCTCTCTTCCGCATGGCAGTCACAGCCCTGACAGTCAAAACAAGAGACAAACAATTTTGAACATACTTTCAAAACCGAATTTCTGCCTACCTCTGTGTCAGCTGGTAACCCACTGAGAATGGTCGTCCCTCCACATATCCGGACCACGCTGGCAGAATATAGTAGAACAGCCAGGGGAGGGGGGATCTTGTGATGAACCAGAATACATACTCTGCAACAGAGGGAGGGGGAATAGGGAAGATGAGCCCCCGGCCATCCGATGGTACCAAAACAGCTACAGTGGAACCATACGTAAACATGGCTAAGTTCTTAGTCACAAACTGTGATTTTCAAGGACGTGTGGGTGGGTGCATTATCGTGATGAAGGAGCAGTGTGGCACATGTTCAAATTTTCTGTTAAGATCTCCTGGCATACTCCATAACTGATCCCAGCGGTGTCTGCGAGCTCATGGATTGTTTAGCAACGGTCTTCAATGATGATTTCTCAAAATTTTTCAACATTTTCTGTCCTTTTGTTGATGCTTGGTAGCCCTGAACGTCTGTCATCTTCAGCTGACACCAAACCAGCCTTGAAACATGAATTCCATTCAAAAACTGCTGTCTGGCTTAAAGAATATTCTCCAAAAGCCTTGCAAAGCATTTCAAGGGTTTCAGTAGCGGATTTACCTATCTTCATGCAAAACTTGTTGGAGACACGTTGCTTGATTTTGCCATCCACCGCAGACAAAATGAAACTCGAAGTTGAAAAAGCGCTCATGTAAAAACGATGCATGTTCACAGCATGGTGTCACATGGCAGGCTGATGCAATAGGCTTGCAGAAGTGTGACCTTGGCCTCCCCTCTGATCTTCTTTCACTGAGCAGTTACAACAATAGTAGTGTAGGAACTTTCCATTATCACCTCTGGAAGGGTTATAGGTACTGCAATCAAAGCGTCAGAGGAGTTCTTACGTGATCAGTGATGAAAGGTAAACAACACTCTCCATGGCACAAATAGGATAAGGAAATTATGCAGTTGAAAGGAATCTGTGTATTTCGTTCTTAAACACAGAGTGGGGACCATTCTGTGGTGGGAGCATTACTCAGGTGAATACAATAATCTGTATTTAGTGAACTCTGTGATAATGGTCCCATCTGTTATTCAGTGATCTCTGTATGATGAAGTGCCCTTCTAGCCATCTGTGGCCACTGGTGCCATGGTTACAGGATTGTTCATTAATGTAATTTGAATTCAGCAAGTGGCTGGACAGTTCTTCTTGTGCCACTTCAAAATTTGTGGTGCTGTTTATAGAACAGCATAAGAAAGATAATAAGTGCCAGTGATGTCAGAAATAATAATTTTTTATGTCATCCATAGGATACAGTAAATTAGGACTATTGTCCCATGTCTCACATGTTGCAGAGCCTTGTACTTTGAAAATCAGGTAGATTTGAATTTGGATTTGGTAGGGTATTTGGCTACATCTTGACACTGTATCAACTGCAGAGTTCATATGCTCTCATATAACGTAGTAGGATCTCCAGCATTTATATTGTGATCTGATTGGTTTCTGATGCTTGTATATGTACTTCTTCTCAGGTAATAAAATTTGTGATTCTTAGCCTATTTCCTTATTTTGAAAAAATGAAAGTAGGCTTCTGAGATCACTTTGCTGTCTGTATGTGTCCTCCTAGCACTTGAAAGCTGAAACAGTGGAACCAGAAGAGGTCACAACAATAGAAGAACTCTTGGATGTGGTGTTTTTATGCAACATGTGTCATATCAAATACTCAATATGTAGTAAAAGGAAAGTTTGTGATTAGTTCTTCCCAGAAAATCTTGTAATTCTCTTTTTGGTCTTTTTTGATCATTTGAGAATGTTGACCCCAATCATAACATTTTGCCAATGGGAAATGGCAATGCACATTACAAAATCTGAAACATAACTATCTGTTAAAGTAAGGACTGCTGGTGGTTATTTCTAGCAATATTCTCCAGTTATATTAGTGTGAAACACAGTTAAACTTTGACAGTAATAAGTAGGAGGCTGGTAACTATATGCTCTACCTGTGTTCAAAGTGTGTGACAAATGTTGTGTGGTCTTGACTGCTTGGTGGGGAAAATCAATTCAGTTTTCCTGTGCCTCTGCTACATGCTTTGCTGTGCAGTTACTTAAGCAGACAATACAGTAATTCTAGCTCCACATTATGACCTTATAGGAAAAAATTACTGCAGTGAGTTAACAGGGACTTTAAACTAACAGTTTAGAATATTGCCAGAATCCAGATAATAAATATAATTTCAAATACCAAAACTCATTAGCCAGCAGTAGCTACTAATAAAACAAAACTAAAGAAAATTTGATGTAAAGTATAAAAATTAAACTGTGATGAAAAGTACTGTCTTCTAGGATGAGATATTGTGTGGTCCGGTAGAAGTGTACTGATGTTTCGGAGGAATGTATTGCCTCTGTCTTCAAGGCCAAAAGTAAGCCAGATAAGCGAGCAGCAAGAAGCAAGCAACAAGCAATTGCTTCCTTGCTTACTCTGTGACCCCAAAGATGGTGGCAGTACATTCTCTTGTAGCAGAATACATAAAGTCATATCCCAGAAGCTAGTACTCATTGCTCTGAGAACCTCATATCTAAGTAATTGCCTGAGTTGATCTCATATATGGTGTAATTTTCTCTCCATTATGTACCATAGATGGGGCATGGGAAACATTTTGATAAATGCAACGGCCAGTTGCTCAGTAACTTGACACAACCAGCACCAACTTTTCTTCAGAATAATCTTTAGGCTGAACTCCTGTTTTCAAGATATATCATGTTGGTATAGCTCAGTCAGTATAGCAACAGGCTACAGGCTGGATGACTGGAGTTTGATTCCTAACAGAGGCAAAATATTTGTGTGTACTCCACGGCATCAAAACAACTCTGGAGCCCGCCTATCCTCTTGCCCAGTGGGTACCATGGACTGTTTACCCAGGGATTAAGTGGACACTCACCTCCATCTAGAGCTGAGGTCAAGAATGGTGGAGCTATACCTCCACTCCCACACATATTCTTGGCATGGTGCCTAGTTAATTAAGCACAAGGACAACTTTACCTTTATCTTTAATTCAAGACGTCTTTCCCCATGTAATACTGTGTCATGTTTTCAATTAACAGGGATGGTGATGTATATGCAGCTATGCGGGACTGTCACACAGCACTTCAGCTGGACCCTGACCACATGAAAGCTCATTTCAGGTAGGTTTGCTGGTTAGGATTTGCATTTCATTACAAAGGGAAAGTCATAGACTTAGTATAATGGGAACTTGGGACACAAAAATGCATCCTGATATGATTACCTCATGAAATGCATTGTTTTATCTAGTAAACAGAACTGGGGTGGTAGGTGGAAGATGACATAATAATCAAGATTTGAGCATTAAGTTCCAGCCAGTCATCAATGGACCTCAGTTATTTATAATTTAAACTGAACGTTGTGTAGTGTGAAATCAGTGGTCATGTTTATCAGCATGCCGAGCGAACACAGTATTATGTGAATATAAGGTTTGAAGTTCTCATGGCAGTGAAGGTCCATGTTGTGTGTGGCCTTCTGTGTTAAGACACTGTGTTACTGAGCAGTTGGCTTAAGTGATAATGCTTTGACTTGTACTTGGAAGGTGCTTGTTTCAAATCACAGGATACTGACTATTCTGGCCAAGGATTTTCATGGTTTCTGTCAGGCCCTCCATGCAAATTCTAAGATAGTACCCAAGTTAAATAATGACCACATCCTTTTCCTGTTCATTAACCGTCATACCGTTTGATGCTGTGTAGTCAGAGCTACTGACAGCATCAGTAACTAAACCATAAATAATGTAACTTGACACCATATAGTCTGGTAGGAGGGTACCAACATTTTGAATCAGCAGATTACCCTCTTTTTTTTTTTGCGCTTAATGGGGGTGGAGTCCAACTGGGTCCACTCGGCACGGCGGCCACTGCTTGACCTATTGTAGCCTGCCCCCGGGTGATTATGATGATGGAGAATTTGGTGGAATTAAGATTGGCAGGGGAAACCGAAGTACTCAGGGAAAACCCACGGCAGCACCACTTTGTCCACCACAAATCCCACTTGACCAGACCCAGGATCGAACCTGGGCCACCACGGTGGGAAGCCAGTGACTAACCGCTTGAGCTATGGCATGGCCACAGCAGATTGCCTTAATTTTCATCATAGAAGTCACTTCCACCCTGAATACAGAGGCAGTTTGTTGTTTCAAAATATTGGTATCCGCCTACCAGGTTAGACGGTGTCATAACTCAGAAGACCACGGTGTGAAAAGACAGTACTGTAACACACTTTTGTATTGGTGGAATGAGTTGTTTATGCCAGCTGATGGTAGTTATATACACCAGTATGCCTGCAGAAACAGAAAATTGTTTTGTTACCACAGTTGCACATCCAACAAAAATATGGAAAACAGATGTATAGCCCCAAGAAAAATATGAACTCCAGTTTAGGTCCTGCTTCCTCCCGCACTCCCTCCTTTAATGTTCTGTCCACATCTGCCTTGTGTGTGCACTGTTCTAGAATTTGGCATACAAGATATTGGTGTTCAGTAACACTGTAAGTGTGCTAACAGTGTATAATGAAACTTTGTGACATCCTGGCATCCTGTGATAGCAAAATAGATCACCAGAAATTTCATCTGAATTTGGTTCAAAGTCTATTTGAAATGAACACAAGGGAGGCCATCCTCAAGCCCTCCAACTGCAGGATTGTGTTTGTGGTGTCATGTATGTTCAGCCAGAAACAAGCAAACAGCTACCAAATTCCAGTGCAATATTGACCCGGTTCTTCAGTTTATCATGCAAAGGTATATCTCTGAATCAGGGTTCCATCAAAACATGGAAAGTAAAACATTTTTACAAATGTCAATACTGTAAAAAGGTACAGCTGTCCCTGCAACAGGCCTTAAAGGCCCGTGTGGTTGTGAGAGGTTGAGACCCTCACATCGTCTAGACAATCAGCTCACAGATGGCGGTTAGGTTGTCAACCTTATGCGCCTGCCACCCTTTAATCCCCCCCCCCAGAATCTTCCTGGTACTTATTTCTGTTAGAGGCTGACTCGACTCCAGGACCGTGTTGCAGCTGGAAGGATTAGGTAAATTGAAAAAATTCAGTGACCTCATTGGGAATCATATCTGTAACCTTTTGGCTTGTAGCATAGTGCCTCAACTAATCATGATACCACATGCCTCTGTCAGTACTGTACATTTGAATTTATGTACATAAATTTTATTTCAGGAATCTAACCTTTTTCAGAAACAGATTTTTAAATCAGGAAAAAATTAATGTTATAGAATTTGGAAATTTATTTTCCTTCCAATGTGTAGGGTAGGCATCAGACGAAGCGAGACACCAAAAACCAAAAACTGATGCCAGAAGCAGCGTCATCAGCAGCAACTTGAAGCACAGAGCAAATGATGCTTGAGATGGTTCAAGTTCGTATAGCAACAGGCGTGACCAGAGTGGTTTGAACGGCTGTTGTACTGCGATGTGGAAAGCAAATGGAAAATCTACCACATTATCACTTTTCCTGGATAGTCTCTTTCCAAAAACAGAGATACCATGTATGCGAGATGTTTCCTCTGGAGACAAAACAAACCAGAGGGCCAGATAGAAGTGACCAGAAGACGAGGAAGAAGACGTAAGAAGATGCTGGATGATCTTGGGGACAGAAGAGGATATTTTTATTTGAAGGAGAAAGTTTGTGATCGCATTAAGTGGAGGAACTGTTTTGGAAGAGACTGTGGACCTGTCGTCTGACAGATTACTGATGAATGAATGAACGTTTTTGTAGAATATTTTATCAATACTAATACCATTTCTCCCACCCAACACATGGATGTTTGCATGTGTGTTTATTCTGTGTTTGTGTTGTCCTGTGTATAGGGAGTGACCTTGCAATGGGCTGATCACTTGTCCAAGGAGCCCTACCGTCTGTGTAAAAAAAGATTATGTAACTGAAGAGACCAGGGCACAACAAACTTCTGTAGAGCCATTGATGATTAAATGAATGAACTAATACCATTTCTAGTTAAAATCCCAGTGTTAAAAGTCCTGCCATCAGCCCCAGTGGACTTAAATCCCTTATTCCCATAGGATAACATTGACTGGTTCGTGCCTAATCATAATTGAGCTGTTCTGTGAAGTTCCTTGAGTGCATGTTTCGGCCCCTAATGGTCCAACTTCTAACTTCATGTGAGATGTTGCAGACTGGCCAGGTGCCTGTACGAGCTGCAGTGGGTCCAGGAAGCTTCTGACTGTATGCAGGCCTTCAAGAGCAAGTTCCCAGACCATGTTCACAGTCATGCATGCAAAGCTCTTGTCAAAGATATTGAAACAGCTAGTGCCTCAAAACCCGATTTTGGTAAGCCCAGAGAATAGTGATCTGCACATGTGTCTTTCTTATATATGTACTGTTATGTGGTTATCACCTCGGCTTCGAGTTGGGAAGGCTGTGGGTTAACATCTCAGTCCAGAGTCCAGCTGTCATTTTTTTGTGCTTCTCCTCAGACCCTCCAAGCAGAATCCAAGACAATACCTGAAATCAGGCCACAGATGTTGCCTTCCACATCTTTGCAANGATCTCAGTCCAGAGTCCAGCTGTCGTTTTTTGTGCTTCTCCTCAGACCCTCCAAGCAGAATCCAAGATAATACCTGAAATCAGGCCACAGATGTTGCCTTCCACATCTTTGCAATGTATTTTTCACCAGTTACCGTGCCGTTCAAAACTGTATAGTCTGAACCACTGAGCTTCATTAAGTAGACCATAAATACGCCATGAAGATGTATGGGGGAGTGAATGTGTAGACCCATGTATTCTTGACCTTGGCACTAGTTAGCGGTGACTGGTCACCTTCATGCCCCAGCCACTTTACCCCTGGGGAAAGACCCCAGGTACCCATTCGATAGGCTGGATGGGCCCCAGAACCAGTCCGGATGACATGGAGAGAAGAAAAATCTTGGATCTACTGGGACTCAAACTCCGGCCCCTTGGCCATCCAGCCTGTAGCCAGTCGCTATACCAGTTGTACTATCCCATCTACCAGACCAGAAATAGGGGTCTCAATAAGATGCAACTATATTTATGAGGTCTCAGGCTCAAATTCTATAGCCAGATACACTGTGATTTTTCATGCTACAGGGATAGTGTTTTAAAATAGGTCATAATCACTTCCATCCATTTCAAGCCTAATTCATCATCTAGAAGTGAAATATCACTTCACATCCAATGTGTTGTAACCTGTGCAGTTGATAAAGTGTCATTCCATAAACCAAAAAAGGTTTGTGAGAATAGTGATTGTTGAGGTATTTGATTAGGTCCTTTTTTTTTATTTTTAGTCTGTCTAGTGAAAAATGAATAAAGCACTACCAAACAAAAACTTGGAAATAAAGATGTTTGGTATTCAGTATTAGAAATTGTACATTAAGGAAGGGTAACAAACTGAGAAGTGTTAAAGGAGGATCTGCTGTGTGTATAATATTGAAACATATTAGTGACTGGACACGGGGTTTGGATTGATAACTGGATTTATTGGACTCATAAATCATAACTACAAGTGGTTATAATGCTCTCACTAATACACCACACTAGACTTCCTACTACAGCACACACTGAGTCTTCTCAGTTTTTCTTCATTAGCTGTTGCTCGTTCATGGTTCTCAACATTGCATATTACCTGTACTGTTTCCATCCTCAGTGGCTCCTATCCTTGCTGGCTGGCGACTCCCTCTTAACTAACTCGTGGCATCACTAACCATCACTGACTGCCCACTGGCAACTTGCTATATAGCCTCGGGTTAGACTGCACAGGAAACACTGTCTCCAACAGTTCTTTTGTGTGTTTATCCATTGTATAACGTCAACTCCTTGTTTAGAGATGTCATAGCTTGTTTACTATGTCATTGCCTCGCAGCAGATGACATCTCTTGTTACGCTATTCAATCATATCGCAATATTTTTTGAAGACATAAATGCAAGTGTCTGAAAACACAATGCCTGGAAATGCATTTGGTCCCAACTGGTTGGTTCCCCAAAAGTTCTCCCATGTGTACACTACTTCTCTCGCCTGTCTGAATTACAGATGTATCCCACTGTAACCTCCTTGATTTCACTACTCTAGCCGATGTGTACGAATTAGTTCCCAGATTTACATCTTTTTGTTTTGTCCAATCAGTCATTCATCCACTCTGTTTTAGGTCCTGTTTATTCTATGTTTTCAGTTTATTTTTCCCCCCTAGATATTGTATGCCTTTTTTTTTTCAGTGAGAGGTTTATTCAGTCTGTTTTACATAATTGTTTGTACCATCTGTAGACTTTGAATAAAAGTGTTATATGCATGCAACAGTTACTGACTAAAGGTGCAGCCACACAGAGCGCTACGTACACGACGCATGCTACATATGCTATGTTTGCTATACGAACAGAAAAATATCTCCCTTTATTGCCAATGTGACTGGCCACACAGACTTCCATACACTATGTTCGCTGTGTTAGCTGCATTGTGGAGTGTTTGATTCTCCGCTATATTTTTAAAACATCGCGCTGGATGGGCATGCACACTGGGCTCGCTTCCAGGTGTCAGCTGTGCGCCTCAGTAATTTCCCACTCTGATTACAACACGTGTTACGTATCATTCAGCACAGTATTCGCTTAGATTAAAATGACACTGGAGGAATTAATTGAAGAAGTAAGGAAGTATCCATGTTTGTAGAACAAAGGGTTAGAAGAATATCGGAACCAGAACATGCGGGATAATGCCTGGGACATGATTTCTGGAGAATTGAATACACCATGTAATGTACACACATTGTTCTTTTATCTATAAGTGAAGAACTTAAAATATTTTCATCAACCCCATTCATTCGGAAATATTCTTTAAATTTAACTCAGTTGGGCCCCAGATAACCTTGGCCTCCCCCCCAAGAAATGCCACTGACCGTGTTATTTGCCTTAAGCTATTGAAGAATCATCTTGGGGGTTCAAGCAAAATTGAATAAATTATGTTGATTGACAAAGCGACACACGTATTAGTAATACTCACAAAATAGTGATGCAAAGTAATTATAATACTAGTCAAAAAGGGTTACAGTCTGACACTGATACCGGAAGTCACAGTGGCTAAGATGCCTTTTACTCACCAAGTAATACTGGTTCAGTAGGTTTATACCTCTTCCCAGACACAAAATAAAAATGACATACAAAGAAATATATGACAGTCTGACACTGACTTTCTAACTGATAAAGAAATATTAGACAATCTGACACTGACTTCCTGACTGATAAAGAAATATTAGACAATCTGACACTGACTTCATGACTGATAAAGAANAGATTTCTTGGTTCAGAGCTAGGGAATGAACCATTATGACCTTATGATCGTTTGTTTTGGTTTCAAACCCAAGGTCAAACTGTCAGCACTCCCAAAGAGAGCATGTGTCATTCGGCCAACTCAGGTTGCTGCTTGCTATATGTATATATATATATATATAACATTCAGCCATTAAAGGTTAATCTCCTGAGTGAAGGTAAAGATCTTTTGTAGGATTTGAGGTTCTCACAGTGGTGGTTATGAAGAGTTGTATCTTCTGGTATATAATGCCATGTAGTCCACTGGAAGTCAGCTGATGTTTCGCAGGAACATAGCACCTCCATCTTCAGGGTCAAATAATAAGCCAAGCAAGAAATCAACATGAAAGTATGTGGCAAGCAGAGTGTCTGCTTGTCAACTGCTGTTCCTCCCGAACATCAGTTGACTTTAAATGGACTGCATGCCATTATACCCCAGAAGATAGTACTCTTCTAAAGATCTTCTGCTTGGCAAGCTCACTGATACAGGACTGTGTGTGTGTGGTATGTACAGATGTGGACAGTGAGGACATGGAGCCTAGTGCTGAGCCGTCAGACCAGTTCAAGAGTAACGCTGCAAACCGTTGCTCGATGTCACAGCAGGAACGAGCATGGAGAGAAGTGGCCTATGACTATGAGATACGGTTTTGTGGCCATTGTAACACCACCACTGATATCAAAGAAGCAAATTTCTTTGGAAGGTAAATATTGTAGCTTGGGTTTGAGTTCTGGTACTGCACTGATATAGCACTTCTGATTGTGCAGTAAAGCATACGTATTGTGCATGAATAATGAATTGTTATGTGGAGTTCTTTATGAATACATTTGTCCCCCACGTTACAGACAGTTCCCTTACTGAAATTATAAAACATGGCCATAAAGTTCACAGTACAGATCACAAACTCACCATTATAGAAGTATGGGATAAATATTAGAATCTTTAATCACAAAATGCTATATAACAACAAATTCGGCCAAAATTAATGTTTTTAAAGATATAATGACATGTTAAGAAAATCTTATTGCACAAGTGCATACTTTAATACCATGGCAGGTTATGTTGTTGGTCATTCACTGGCCCATGTGGATGCGTCAGTGACGGAGAGACTGGAAGTGTGATTGCTATTTCCATGTTTTAGACTTTATAGTGCATAAATCTTATAAAAGGTCATAAAGGATGTCTGAAAATAGTCCACCATTCGAGTTTTAAGTTTATTTTTATGTACCTACTATTATTTTTTATGTTTTTATTCTAACTGTGGACCAAAGGAATTTTTGGTAAGAATACATCTCCACTTATAACATGCAACTCAGATGAAAAATAGGGTTTGTGTCATGCAATTTCACAGTGCAGCACAAGAAGACATCCTCCCTTCATAGTGTTGAGGTGTACTGTATACAGAAAGAAAATATTACACTTGATTTAGCCAGGTCCTCAATAATCGGTTATATATGTCAGAATGTTATTTCTCATTTTATACGTGGTAGAGTCATTAATTTTGTGGAATGTGGTTTTATCGCATATCTACATCGGCCCACAAAATATTTTCCGTTGGCTGCTATGCAAGTCTGCCAACGTTGATATAGCTGTCGAAAACATTACTGAAACATATTGGCAGTAAATTCCTGTATGACACTTTGCGGACATTCCCCGAACTTATTGACTGTGGTAGTATACAGGGTGTCCCAGGAGGAATGTGCCAAACTTTGGGAGGGTGTTCCTTATGTTAAAGTATGCCGATATAACCCAAAACACCTATGTCCAAAGTTGAACGGTTACGGAGATAATGGCCCGAGAA